TTGTTGTTGATGATTGAGATGATTATGGACATGATGATGGAGCTGATGATGAGGAGGAGGAGAAGGAGGAGGATGGTGAAGTGCATGTCGCTCTTGGAGGAACAGTTTAACACCCAGCAGGTGGACGCAGGAGGGGAGGAGGATGAGGATGAAGTGAAGGCGAACAAACTTCGGGCAAAAGTTGAGGAAGTCGTCCAAGAGAAGCGTGAGAAAGGTAGGGAACATGTTGTGAGAGGGAGAAGAAGAGAGGAGGAGAAGGGGAAGGGGAAGGGGAAGGGGAAGGGGAAGGGGAAGAAGAGGAGAAGAGGAGAGGACGAGGAGGAGGACGAGGACGAGGACGAGGACGAGGACGAGGAGGAGGAGGAGGAGGAGGAGGAGGAGAAGGGGAAGGTGAAGTGGAGCAAGCATATTGTGAGGGAAGGAAAGAGAAGGGAGAGTGGAAGACGGTGAAAGGGGAGAGGAGTTGGTTGGAAAAGGTAGAAAGCATACTGTCAGAGGGGGGGAGGAGGGAAGGGGAACAGCATTTTGTCATGGGGAGGAAGCAGCGGAGGGATCGGGGTTGTTCCATCTGATTGTTGAGCTCAGGCGAGATTGTTGCACTACCAAAGCTCAACATCAGTTTTGAGAAGGAGGTGAGGAGAGGAGGAGAGCACAAGGGGGAGGAAAGAAATGTCGGAGCAGGAGAGGAGAGGACGGGGGTTGGTTGGGGGTGGAGAGGGGGAGGAGGAGGGCAGGGCAGGAGGTTGAGACCTCAGGGCAAACAAGGGGGAGGAGGGTGGAAGGCTGTGACGTGGGGGCAGGACGGGAAGATGAAGATGAAGATCGATTTCCACATGTCATGATCGCCCAGACCGTGAAGATGCTGTTGTGATATTCTTTGAAACCAATTACATCCAAGTGAGCTGCAACCTGCATCCCTCCTGCTCCTGCTCCTGCTCCTGCTCCAGCTCCAGCTCCAGCTCCAGCTCCAGCTCCAGCTCCAGCTCCAGCTCCGGCTCCTCCACCCTTTCGACCTCCTCTTGTCCTTTCCCTACCCCCGCACCTCTTTCCCCTTTCCTTCTCCTCCTCTTCCCTTATCTTCCTGCTCCTGCTGCTGTTCTCCCCATCCTTCCGTTCTCCTGCTCTTCTACTCCTTCAGCCAGTCCGGGATGTCTTCTTCCAAGCTGATTTCTCCCTCGTCTGCTTTCACGTCCTTGAGCCATTCCAGCTCCTCCTCGAGATTCAGCCCATCGATGATACTCTCTCCTCCTC